CAGGAGTTGGAGGTTGCTGTGAGCTGTGATGCCACAGCACTCTACCCAGGGCAACAGCTTGAGGCTTTGTCTCAAAAAAAAAAAAAAAGAAGCGTAGAACCCACAGGATTTAAGCTTTGTTATCTCATGTTTGAGTTTAGGAACATTTGTAGTTTATAGAAGCTGGAGTCCATTTAATTTCTCCCCAAATATCCAGTTCTGAGATGCCAACATGAGACTGGTCTTGAATCCTAAATCACAGCGCTCTACTCAAAAGGCTCAGAACCTGGAGCTCTGGAAACCACCAGGAGGACACAAGACGTCAAAGAACATAACCATGTGATCTTTTTTTCTTTTTCAGGCAGCATCTCCCTGGTAATTTATTACAGCCTGCTGCATCCAAAATCCACAGACATCTGGCAGGGCTTCCTAAGGAAATCCTGTGGCATTGCAAGGAATGATAAAACAGAGAGAGAATCTTCTGCCCGGGCCGAGGCCTCAGCAGTGAGGAGAACCCAGGACTTGGTCCCATGCCAAGTGGAAGGTCACAAGCTAACACCTTTGGGGAAGCCCCACAGCCCAGAGCAGGGCTCTCCAGAGGCCAGACTGGGGAGCCTCACTGCCGAAGAGGACTCTTTCTTCCATCACCACCACTGGCTGTTGGTGAAACTTGCCCTAAAAACAGGAAATGTGTCTAAGATCAATGCAGGCTTTGGAGATGATAGCCCTGACTTCTCCTGTCCACCTGCTAGGGAGCTGAGTCAACACCAGAGTGTGCAGAGGAAGCCCCTGTTTTCCCAGCAGGTGCCTCCATCCTCACCCTGTGACCCCCCAACTTTAGGGAAGAGTTCTGAGTTTGAAGTTGTCCCTAAAGCACATGCTGACCCTCTGGAAACCTCAAGTTATGTCTCTTTTGCCAGCTATCGTCAGGACAAAGTGCCTTCCCAGGGACCATCAGCTGCACAGGAAGCAGGCAGCCCCAATGGGGGAGCTGAGCCTGGTTCTACAACACAGGGGTGGGGACCTGGTGGGCAGCTGTGGACAGGGGCAAAGCAGGAGGGCTCAACATTGTACTTCAGTGCCACCACGGAAGGGGCTGTTTCCACCTGCCAAGAAGGCAGCCCAGGCACTGTGCAGATGGCCCTCTATAGGAGGAGTTCAGGGCAGGACAGCCCTGCCCAACCTGTCTGGCCTCAGTCTGTCACGAAGCCCTTTCCCATCACTATGGCCAACATCAGCCCCATCCTCGGCCCAGGCAGATGCTTCTGCCCCAGTGCAGACTTCAATGGGAGAGCACTAGGTAGCTCAGAGCATGGGCAGTGTCAGGAGCTCACAAGGGACTTCAATCATCATGCCCCTGTGGGCCAGGGGAGGTCACTGCCAAAGATGAGGTCTGCCGAAGAGCCCTGCTTCACGTCCACCCCCAAGTCTGAGTCCATCCAGAGGGGCTGTAGCTGCAGAGAAGAGATGAAGCATGAGACAAGTTTTTTCATCTGACCATAGGCATAGTGGGAAAAGACAGCAGGCTGGCAAATCAAGGTGGTCCTGGATAGAGGAATAAGAAACCCTACTTCTGGCTCTGTGCCCGTAGCTCAGTGAGGGCACCAGCCACATACACCAAGCCTGGCGGGTTTGAGCCCGGCCTGGGCCAGCTGAACAACAATGACAATTGTATCAAAAAATAGCTGGGCGTTGTGGCAGGCACCTGTAGTACCCGTTACTCAGGAGGCTGAGGCAAGAGAATCACTTGAGCCCAAGAGTTTGAGGTTGCTGTGAGCTGTGATGCCAGAGCACTCTACTGAGGGTGACACAGTGAGATTCAGTCTCGAAATAAATAGATAAATAAATAAATAAAATAAAAAGTATGCACAAAGGAAGTGCATAATTTTGTGAAATTTCTCATTGTAAGATAATGTGAACTTTCAAAAGTAGTTGAGAACTGTGTGCTTATAATCCTCAACACACTGAAGATACAATGCCATTACCAGCATCCTGTATCTCGTAGCCTACGTGGCATATTTCTGTTAAATGCATGGCTCTCCTTCTCATAGGCCGGCCAGCCAGCAGTTGTTTGCCAGCTCCCAATTCTTCTGTGGAGCCCCATTTTCTACATCCACACGCTTTATTCCCTCGTTCATTCCTCGTAAGACACCATCCATGATTTAAGCTCATCCAAAAAAGGGAAGCACACATCCCATTGCCCTGCTACTCTGTTTCTTTCTAACACTTCCTCTTAAAAATGTTCTTTATAGATAGGTGTCTCCATCATTTTTTTCTTTTCTTTCTTTCTTTTTTTCTTTTTGGTCACCCTTGGTAGAGTGCTATGGCATCTTAGCTCACAGCAAACTCAAACTCTTGGGTTCAAGTGATCCTCTTGCCTCAGACTCCCAAGTAGCTGGGACTACAGGCACCCGCAACAGCACCCAGCTATTTTTTAGAGACTGGGTCTCACTCTGGCTCAGGCTGATCTTGAACCTGTGAGCTCAGGCAGTCCACCCACCTCAGCCTCCCAAGTTCTCCATCACTTCTTTAAGCCAGTGGTTCTCAACCTTCCTAATGCTGGGATGCATTTTCATTGTCACAAAGAGGCCACAGCCCACAGGTTGAGAACCGCTGCTTTCAGCCTTTCTTATTGCTAAGGAAGTCCAGTGACACACCGCCAAGGAGAAATGCTCACAGAGGCTGATACCATTTGGAGATGGGTAATTTTTATCCTTGTCAAACACTAAGTTTAGGGACAACATTAGAGCTCTAAAATGGAAGTGTGGCCAAGACCAGCCTGAGTGAGAGCAAGACCCCATCTCTAAAAATAGCTGAGCAGACACCTGTAGTCCCAGGTGCTCAGAAGGCTGAGGCAAGAGAATCGCTTGAGCCAAGAGTTTGAGATTGCTGTGAGCTGTGATGATGCCACGGCACTGTACCCAGGGTGACAAAGTAAAATTCTGCCTCAAGAAAAAAAAAAAGAGGAAGCATCAAGCAACTTGGCTGAGCCTCACACAGGTGAAGGGCGTGTGCAGACATCTGCAGTGAGCTCTCAGGCCTTCTGTGTCCCTGCTGCCAACCACACAGGCCAATCAGAGATGCACGTGGGTGGCTGAGAACTTTGGCACAACAGGTAAATATAAAGCGGGGAGAGTTTGTTAGCAGAACAGAATTATCCACAGTTACACTCACTATCCTATCATAGCATCTTGATTTCTTCTCCACTCAGTGTTTCACACACCAGGTGAGAAGGACATGGGCATCTTATCCTAACCGGCCTTTCCACTCCTTCTGTACCTCAAGATTCCACTTGAGCATTGCCTCCTGGGGGCCTCCCTGAGCTTTCCCACGCTCGCCCTCCGGCCCAGCTGTACCCATTGTTCCTTGCATTCTAATAGTCTCCTCCTGAATTAGAAATCCTGCTCCCTTGAAGACTAATTAAGAGCTGCAATCTTAGGCCGGAGCAGTCGCTCACACCTGTAATCCTAGCATTCTGGGAGGACAAAGCGGTGAATTGCTTGAGCTTAGGATTTTGAGACCAGCCTGAGCAAAAGTGAGACCCTGTCTCTACTAAGAATAGAAAAATTAGCTGGGTATTGTGGCAAGCTCCTGTAGTCTCAGCTACTTGGGAAGCTGAGGCATGAGGATCTCTTGAGCTCAAGAGTTTGAGGTTGCTGCGAGCTCTGATGATGCCACCGCTCTCAACTCCAGAGCTACAGAGTGACGTTCAGTCTGAAAGAAAAAAGACCTGCAATCTTAACTTTGAGCCCTTAGCTCTGAGCCCCATCTCAGTGACCAACACAGAATAGACACTGGGACACATAGTATGAATTAACTAATTAGTGAGTGACTGTTTTTGTCACAAAGTTTGGCTTGAGTGCATATGCTGGTAAGAAGGCCTTTTGCCATGAGGAAAGGAACAGGTGGGATATAGGGCATTTTGCTTATTCCTAATCAAGGGCTAAAAAGCTAGACATCATCTTCATTCATTCATTAAGGAATACTGAGTGCAACAGGCACTGAGCACACAAGAATTAAGGGCTCAGACCAGCAGGAGCCTCAAATGGCCTCTTCATTTCATGTCACCAGGTGGTGAAAAGGATTATATTTATTAAAGACTAACAAATGAACACTTAATTTAAAAAATGCTTAGTGAATATCTACTAAAGGCTGGTCACACAGAAAAGGAAATATGGCACATGCCCTGTGGCATCCGTGGGGGGCACAAATGATGGTTTCGTCATCACATCCCCTCTGAAATGGCTACAGGGTCCTGTGGCAGTTCAGCTCAGTGGGAAGGCTGTGCCTGCCATCTTCAGGGCCCCCAGGCTGTCCTGTGGAAGAGAGATTTGATTTTCTTCCTGTAGGGCTAATGTGAACCACCAACAAACTCGTTAGGGCCCAATACAGGTTCTTTAACAGCGTTAAAGGCGGAGCAGGCTGTCACAGGAGTGTAGGGTCACATTCCACTGGAGACCAGCAGATGAAGCCTGAACGGCACCTCAGCTCAGTGACAAAAAAGGAAATTCAAGTGCTAGAAGAGTCAGCTCAAAGTGACTTCCCAGGTCCTGCCCCTGGGTCTCCACTCTGGCTGTGAGTGGTAAGTAGGAGTAACAGGGCACAACCTTAAGGCCTGTTCTGGGAAATTCCCCTTCCCTGAGGAGAAGGGAAGAACCAGAGAATCAGAACCAGAAAGTCAAAACCAGTTGTGGAGTTACCCAGAATAGCCAGCCTTGGGTATCTGTGATGCTTTGCTCCAGGAGACCTCAGGCCTCTGCCTGGCAGAAGGACGTGGACAGCTGAACTGGGGACTCTGTCGACTGCCCAGACAGAGGAAGGGCCTCCTCTGAGTGAGGATGTCGGGCTGCTCCTCTCCACACCACTGGCTCCCGGACTGACTGCTCACAATTGTCTGTGGGACTGGGCCCTTCCTAGACCACTGACCCTTTTGTGGTCTAGACTGTGACCTTTGACCTCCAGGAACCACCTGGGTTTGACCTCCAGGAACCACCTGGGTTGAGTTACTTGGGTTTATTACTCATCTTCCTTAGTGAAGAACACCCCCCAGAGGGGTGCAGTCACCCAGCACTTGGGAAGCCAAGGCAGGTGGTTGTCTGAGCTCACGGGCTCAAGATCTACCTGAGCAAGACTAAGCCCCCGTCTCTAAAAATAGCCGGGCATTGTGGCGGGCATCTGCAGTCCCAGCTACTTGGGAGGCTGAGGCAAGAGAATTGCTTAAGCCCAAGAGTTTAAGGTTGCTGTGAGTTGTGACGACACTGCACTCTGCCAATGGCAACACACTGAGACTCTGTTTCAAAAAAAGAAAGAACACATCCCATGGCTACAGTGGGGCATCTTGGCAAAAGGATGTATGAAAGGACTTGCAGGATGTGGGCTCTGCTGGGTGAGTCTGAGGGGCTCACTGGGGATTGCAGTTCTGTGACTCAGTGTTGCAATAAAGCTGTTCCCTAGGGAGGGACTAGCATGAGGGTGCAGCTGTCACTGGTGAAGAGGCAGCCGTCACCCATTACACGGGAAGGGGGGGAACGCCACAGAAGCACAGCACAGCTGCTTACGCGCGATACATGGAGACTGAGGACCGCTCTTCATGCCCTTCAAACATTTACAACTGTTTGCCATGCTAAATATTACATATCAATCACAAGTAAAGCAACGACTTTCCCACATCCCACCAGTGGCTCACTCTTCAGCTGCACCTGTATCTAAGTTCATGTTTTAGCCGATCTTATCCTTAGCATCTTGATGCTATCTGAAGGAGACTGGATGCATCTGTCCACAGCATGTGTGCAACTTAAGAAGAGAGTAGGGACAATCACAGGAGCTCAATGTCACCAGAATGGGCCCACTGTCCAGCAGTCAAACCTGTGCAGACCAGCCTCTGTGTTCCTCAGCAGTGATCCAGGAAGGACAGCACAGGCGGCCTGGGGTGAGCGAGGGCCCAGGACAGGAGGCACCCCTGAGTCAGCTCATCTGACCCACACACGTTGTGGTGCCCTCCTCTGTCCTTGAACAGTGAGTCTCTGGAAGGCAAAGCTGACAGGGGTCAGGTCTCTGTGAGCAGTACCCAGATGGACCCTGCCTCCAGTCACACCCCTTCACCCTCCATTTCTTCCCTCCTAGTCCCCTTGGGCTTCTCCCTCCCTTAAGTCTGTCTGCAGTGACAGTCACTCCTCACCCCAACGTCTCCTCCTCTACCCCTCTCCCCCGTCTTGACTAGACTCAGGGTGGCAGAGCTCTGTCCTCACAGGCACACAGGTCAGCAGGCTGCTCTTGCTGTTGGAATTCTGTCCCTCTCTCTCCTTAGCTGATGCCGTTGCATCAGGAAGTGGCCACCACACAGAACTTCAACATAGCACTTGGTCTGGGAGTGTTTATCTCCTACCTCCTGGTGCACCTGCCAGCCACTTTTCTTTCTTTCTTGTTTTTTAAGTCTCTCTCACAGCCCTAAACACTGCAGACTGTTCTGTACTGCCATCTCTACCAAAAGCGGGAAT